GTTGAATTTTATTGGTAGACATTGGTAGAAATGAATTTCTTGCAAGGAGAATTAGTTTACTGATAATCTGCACCTATAAGATATTAATAAAATATAGTCCATGTAGAGGAAGGACAGGAAGTCAAATTATATGTCATTTTCAGTTCAACTTCTAGATAATTTAGGATGAAAATATTAGTGCAGAGACAGAAAAGTAAATGTATTGGTATGTGCTATATTTATGGATATCAGAAATACTGGACAGAGATTTTTAGATGAGTTATCAATGTGCCAAGTTTGCTGATATTTCAGAAAACAGGAGGAAATTAAATTATGCTCATACAAACATGGAAACATTTTTCTTGTAAATGTAGGTAGCTACCTTGGACACACAGATTGCAGATGACGAGGAACTACAGAAGTATTCAAAGGTAAGCACTTGGTTTTAAAATGCTGCTGTGTTTTATTGTTATGATGAGCTTTCTTTACGTTCTTGATGAAGAAACTGAGTGACATGACCTAAAGTCTCCAGAATTTAGTTATAGATGTTTTCCAGAAGGGAGATAGGCTCTCAGTTAAAAGATTGCGGTGGTTAGATAAAGCTGGGGAGAACGGAATCAATATGCCATTTTCAGAAGCCAAAATCTCAGGTTTGACTCTGCCACAGGCATGAGAAGGCGACAAGTGTGCACGTCAGCTTTTTGGGTATTGCAGGGAGACCTTTGGGAAAGGTTTTCTGTAATGGGGACAGGGTTAGGCTTTGAAAAGCATGATTGGCTGTCCAAGGACAGAAAACATGGTTGACCTCTGGGTTTGTTATTCTTAAACTATCTGAGTTTATTTTTATTGCTGTTGAGAATATGCAGTCATGTAACTTGGGCATTTTTTTCCCTAACACTTTTACTGTCTTTTCTTACAGATTAATTTATAGTTTCTATTACAGATAACCAGAACCTAAGGCAATTAAAATGTATACAAGCCTTCTGAATGGTTTTCTCAATAAATAATAGAAAAGGAAAGATTTTATTGCTCAGAGAATTTCAGAAACACTATTATACTCCTACATGAACCAAAGTCTGAGCTCAACTTAGACTCTTCATCTCTCAACTTAGACTCTTCATCTCTCAA